GAGAAAATATGTGAAATGGCGCAAAATCGAATATAGTTTTTAAAATAATATACGTGTTCCAAATTCAAATTAATAAAAAAGTAAAAAAAAAAAATTTTTTTTTTTTAATTTTTAGCAGTATTTATGATTACACTAGTTATATATGTAACTAGCTCCACCCGAGGCTTTGTCCGCGTGGAATTTAACTTTATTCTTCTCAAATAAAAGTAGCCTAAGTCACTCTTTATTACATCAGCTACCTGAAAAAAGTCTCGTCAAAATCGGTCCAGCCATTTCCGAGATTAACCGGAACAAACAGACAGATAAAAATTGTAAAAAATATTATTTTGGTGTATGTACCGTATTTATATTCATATGCATGTAGTAAAAACGGTTATTTCAATATTACAAACAGACACTCCAATTTTATTTACATGTATAGATATTATTTTCGAGTAGACATTGTTATTTCCCTCCCCATACGTCTAGACCGGTATCAGTCTCCGGTTGGATGAATCTGCTATAAATTCTTTTGCAAGCACAGCACAGACATTGTTGTAGAGTCGGATTTTATACGAATTGGTACTTTATACTTTAAATATAATTCAGGGTTGTCTACTACCATACTTGTGTCTAGAAACATGACATTTTTAAAGGCCTCGGTGGTCTAGCGGTATAGGACACCGCTTTTCATCCGATGGTCGCGGGTTCGATTCCTTGGACTGTAACACTTGTATTCTTGGGTATGATTGTTTGTATTTGTCTGGGTGATAATATGTTATATACTTACAAAAAATATATATCTACGTATTTATATCAGTTGTCTAGTACCCAGAAAACAAGCTCTGCTTACCGTGGGACTAGATAGCGCTGTGTTAGTTGTCCAGGAATATTTATTATAAATTAATTTCCTCCCGGTCCAAAACTTTATGAATCTATTTTTTTTAAAAGGATCACGCATGTTTTTTCTCTTTGTTCTTGTGATGAGTCTGCGTTCCGAATGAGTGGTAGAAAAAAATATGACTACTCGAAAGTTTATTTGAATAAAGATTATTACTATTTCAATGCCTCAGATTATGTCTACCACCTCGTCACAAGGTCTGCTGAGGGTGGGACGTTGCCACAATGGATCTCTGCAGGTCGCAGTACTACAGGTCTAAGCACAGAGTAAGCGGAGGGTGGGATGTTGTGGCGCACAATGGATCTCTGCAGGTCGCAGTGCAGATCTAAGCACAGAGTAATAGACCAATCCCCTTTATAAAAAAAAATAATATAATAATAATACTAATATATTTTATGTACTACTAGCTAGCTGTGCCCGGGGTCGCCCGCGTAACATTTATAGCTTATACTAGCTGTCCCAACAAAGTTGTTTTGCCTTAAAATAAAATAAAAAATTAGGGGTGGACTACCCCTAACATTTAGGGGGATGAAAAATAGATGTTGGCCGATTCTCAGACCTACTCAATACGCTCACAAAATTTCATGAGAATCGGTCAAGCCGTTTCGGAGGAGTATGGGAACGAAAACTGTGACACGAGAATTTTATATATAAGATGTTATTCTGTTGCATAAGCTATAATACTGTAAAATTTCAATAAAATCTGTTCAGTAGTTTTTGCGTGAAAGAGTAACAAACATCCATCCATTCATCCATCGATATTTATAAACTTTCGCGTTTATATTATAATAAAATTATTTAGTAGAAATCTTAGTAATTTATAATAATATTACTAAGATTATTACTAAATGATGACAACCCTAGTTGTAGTAGCGTTTGCTTGTCAAACTTGGGGTTGCCATAAAACTCTCGAATTGTCTTCTAACTTTATAATGACTTAACTTCTTTCAAAGTGCTAGTAGATATTTCATATGAATTCTTTGTAGAAATTAAATACATTGTTTTCATAATTTGTTCCAATAAAATGACCAGCCAGTTCGACTTTATGATTTTTTTATTAACGACATTGTTTTGTAGTTTTCGATGGATGATTGATTTCTGTAAACTTTTAGAGTTTATTGACTTGGTGTAGCGTACTGCTGCACTTTTAGATTGTCGCAACTTCATTTCCAGTGCAATAGTAATTTTTATACCAACGAGTCTATGTATATACATATTTATATATATACATTCAAGTTACGAAATATTTAAGTTTTGCCTGAAGTTATCAATGAAAGTACATATCTTTCTGTCTGTCTGTTGTGCGTGTGGGAACCCGCCCACAATACACCACTGACAGACAATACGACCCAACTTAAAGAGAAATTTAGATATATCTATGTACAGGGTGGCCCATAAGTCACTTTATATTTTGAGTTATTTCATTTTCAAAATGTAAAGTGGCTTCTGGGCCACCCTGTAGTATGTACAGGGTGGCCCTATATTCATAACATTAATACTAGATTTAGGGGGAAAGGGGATTGTTAGTAATGTGAACTGTTGATCATATTGCTAGCAATGTACTATGTCAGGTTGACCTCCACGCGGTTCCCCCTGGAAACCATCGTGATAAATTCATGGTGATTTTACCACGATGGGCTAACTGATCCGATCTCATGCTCATCTTATCATCCTCCACTGGTACCCCGCCAGTATACATACATACATACATTTCATATTATACCAATTTCATATGTATGGAAGAATTAATAATAATAATATCTATTTCATATTACAGCACCGCAAATAAATATGATTTGATTTGATATATATGTGCTCTGTTTTACGCTACTTTAGGTTTTATTATCTTTATTATAATAACTAGTTATTACCTGTATCTTGCGTGTATTTCAACTTTTTTTAATTCAATTAATTAAATCTAAATTAAAAAGAGCCTAACTTATTCCTTATAATATTAGCTATCTTCCAGTATATATAGCTATAGTCTAAACTAAAGAGGAAACGCCACTACACATCCTATGTGGTTGCAGCCCACTCATGCATAAACGAAATATCTCCTTTGGTAAGTTTACACTCTTTCCCGAGGAGAAAAAAACCATCGCTCCTAAGAATATCCTTCAATTCTTGTCCCTGACGGGTCTAGGTAGCGAACTCTGAAAAAGCACAATAGATCTATGTAGGTCGCTGTACTACAGGTGCTACAAACATCTGACAATAGCCCAAACAACCCAAGAAAAAAATCCTCCAGTAAAAGTCCCGTCAAAATCGGTCCAGTCGTTTCAGAGATTTTCAAAAACAAACAGACGAAAATTTATAAAAATAATTTTATTGAAGAATCATATATACTTTCATATGCACTTAGTGTGAAGCTGTATTAAAATCCGTTGCGTAGTTTAATAGATGTAAATGAACAGATAGCGAAAGCGACTTCACTTTATACTACCTAAAGATGAACAATATGTTCATCATGGTAATAGGTATATGTTAAAAAAAACACGACGTTATTTAAAACCGTTTTAATCGTTTTTAGTTATTACAAATAACTTTCCAAACATTACATCCTTACATATTAATTGTTTATTTGTACATTATACGAGCGCATCCATATAAAATACTATACACTAATACAAATACGATATAAAATAAGTTTTTGGGGGAAACATTCTGACTTTAGTCGCTGAAATATGCTAATAATATTTATGTCTCCATAAAAGTTTTATAAATCACATAAAATAACCCATAGATTTTGTGAAACCCTATGCTTTACCACTTAAGTAATATTGTTTTTATTGTTTAGGTAGTACGGTTATTTATTTATTGGTATAACTTTATTGAACACTGGCAAGTCGCTTTGCACGAATGCATTATTTGGATTTCTCGGCTCGTTCTGTACTATAACACACATGTGTTATACATATAAATAATCCTCTTGAATCACTCTATCTATTGCTGGAAACTGCATTAAAATCTGTTGCGTAATTTAAAAGATATAAGCGAAAAGACAACGGAAGCGACTCCATTTCATACTATCAAGCTTTACACGGATGCATTACAAAACTTTGAATTTCTCGGCTCGTTCTGTACTATAACACACATGTGTTATACATATAAATATTCGTCTTGAATCACTCTATCTACTGCTAAAACTGCATTAAAATCCGTTGCGTAATTTTAAAGATATAAGCGAATAAACAGTGACGGCGTCTATGTTTTATCCTATGTAACTAGCGACCCGTCAAAGCTTTACACGGATGCATTATAAATATTTTAATTTCTCGGCTTATTGTTACTGTAACACACATGTATTATACATATAAATATTCCTCTTGAATCACTCTATCTACTGCTGAAAACTGCATTAAAATCCGTTGCGTAATTTTAAAGATATAAGCGAATAAACAGTGACGGCGACTTTGTTATACTATGTAAAGATTTAGGGAAGAATATAATATAAAATATAATATAATATAATATAATATAAATAGCAAAAGTGTAAGAAATTACTACCAAGGTTATGAAAGGAAAAGAAATACGCCATGCTCTGCTGACCCGTGAATTTGATCTGCGTCGCGTATTTCCCTAGTTTTTGCGACAGTTTCCATTGCAGCTCAGCTCCCACTAGTTATAGCGTGATGTTATATTGCTTATGAAACTCACAAGTAACGTGGTTTTCTGTTGGTAATTGAATTTTATAAATCGGTTTAGTAGATCCAGAGATCTCCACTACAATCTCACAAACTTTACATCTATATAATATTATATAGATAGATAGGTCTATCTCATCTATCTAACATTAATATAGATTTACACAGAGGTAATTCACGCAGGGAGTCCTTCAATTCTTAGAAATGTAGTATTACAAAATCCAGGGTATATTTTAAATTAAATAGTTGATTTTATATATTAAAAAAGTGATTTAGAATGCGAATGCGTCAGTATGTTTATCATCTTCCATTTATTAATTGTTATTATATTAGTATCGGGGTTTTTTTATATTATTCTATACAATATATCAAATTTTTACAATGTTACAATTGCTTAAATACAAAGGCAATTTTAAACTAATCGTAGCTACAGTTTCCCTTACATTATTTACATAGGTATAATATTTGAACACACGTTTTTCAAAATAGGTGAATTAAAAAATAATACATCGCCTCTTTGTACTTATATTTCGTTTTACATTTACAAAACGTTAACTTAACTTACACTTAAATAACTTACAGTTAGCACTAATCTAAGTGGCAAAGTGGGATATGTTTTAAATTAATCATTTAATGAATAAGATATGGTATTTTTTTTTTAAACATGTCGATTAATAATTTATATATTAAACTCCCGGATAAGTTAAAGCTGATGTACTTACAATATCAGATCACTAACTTAGGCCTCAACAACACTTTTACAAAGAAAAAACAGCGGTGCGATGATTCAACCCTTCCGTGTGACGTGAAAAGGTGTGGAATTGTATGAATGGAACGTCACATTTAGAAACGATTAACTACAAATTATGCGTTCGGATATAAATTTGTCGAAATCTCTATTCATAAGGTAAGTCTTTTATATAGATAGGGAATGCATTACGCTCGTGTGGACGTCACAACACGATTACTGTCATGCTGCGATCGCATGCCGCCGCACACCTGGTTTTATTACATAAATATTATTTGTTACTTACACCCTTTTTTGTAGTGCACCATTCGGCGAAGATAATGGGATATCATAAAGGAAGACAATTCGTTTTTCACTAACATTTCTTACAATACTATGGCGATCAGTGGCTAAACTACTTGAGTCAGTCTTCGTATCGGAGGTTGTGTCACTAGGAGGGACTTTGAGGCACTATAAGAACCCAAGATCACGAGATGATACAGTTCTTGTCGTTTTGAGCATTCTTCCTCTGTCGTTCACGTTTCGCACACGCGACCACGTCGTTGGGAATGTATGATATCCTAACGCCGCCGTATGCTCTCCTAGTCGGTAGTGTATAGGACTCTGCTGACGAGGACGAGGAAGAACATGTGCTGCAGTAGCTGCTCGCGTCGTCGTCTCTCACCTTCTGTCTTCTTACAGGCTCGTCAGGTTCGAATGCTTCGTTGTCGTCACCGCAAAACCGAACCGTTCTCCCGCCTCTAGGTTTCCTCGCAGATTTCTTTCCATCAACTAACGTTAACTCCGGCATTGATGAAGAATGCCCCGGAGTAACTACCGCTTGAGCTTCGACAGGATGCGGCGGCTTCCAATCCTCAGGCGATTCTTCTTCTACATGATCTTCAGAAGTAGGCGTAGGTTGTATTTGGTGTTCAGTCATGGACTGTTCTAATCTTAGATCTGCCAACGCTCTGTCTAGGCTAAGGCAAGCATGTGGCGGTGGCGGGGGATGAGGCGGAGGGGATTCTGGACATAGGGAGACACTTGGCTCGGAATCTGCATCTATATGTTGAGGTGAAGGACCTCTTTGTGGCGTTCGTGGAGGCGACTTCGGAGAAGGCGCTCTTCTCGGTCGAGGCACTCTTGGCGGTCGAGGTCCAGGACCTGAAGAATCGGAAGGCGTCGGTGGCTCACCTTTTGAACACGCTATGGAACAATAGATAGCCCCTTTGCGTGGTAAGAATGGGCGACCCAGTAAACTCGCTCTGCACGTATGGCAGGCAAAGCATCTCTCAGTTGCGTGCCAGTGTTGTCCTTCATGTGACATTTGGCCTTGATCCACACCCACTGGTTCTCCGCAGGCGTCGCAGTACTCCGCGAAGCAGTTATCGAAGCAAGGCAAGCAGTAAGGCCGGGCTTCTCTCATGATATACCTTTGCCCGCCGAGTTGTCTTGAACACTCCGCGCAGGCGAAATGTTTCATATGCCACGCTCGTCCTTCCGCTTCTGTGCACTCGTCTGCTAGGATGATCTGTGGGAGAGAAAAAAGTTTTTTAATATCTGCGTCAGCTTTTAATGAGGGGTAAATATCGCCTATATACATTATATCATCAAGACCGTCACAAAATACAGGGTGATTTCAGAGGAGTTTCCTTCCGCGTACACATAGATTGTGGAATGAACTTCCTGCCGAGGTTTTCCCACGAGAATACAGCATGGGGTTTTTCAAGAAGGGTATATTAAGGTTTCTTAAGGGTCGGCAACGCGCAAGTGATACCCCTGGTGTTTCAGGCGTTCTCCTACGTCCCCTCTCCCCATTTACCATCACATGGGCCGTATGCTTGATTGCCACCCTAGTAGTATAAAAAAAAAAAAGGGTGATGCCTGTGGTAGCTCTCACGGGATGCCTTTACGTAAGTGTAAGGTGTTATGCTGTACTCTGTAATATGACTGCCATATTCTTTTGATACTGAAGATAGTTTCAGAACCAAGCTGCTGACAGTAGAATTAAGCGAGACATTATTATTTACAGTACAGTACAGTATATGTACAACATATAATCAGCGTTGCAGCTTCGGCTGCAGCTATATGCTGAGAGTCCTTTTTTGCTAAATATATCTATATTCTTATTATTATACTAGCTGTACCAGCGACGTCGTCTGCGTGGAATTTATGTTTATATTTCTAAAAATTTTTTTATTTCTAAAATAAAAGTAGTCTATGTTTCTTCTTATTACATCCGCTACCTGCCAGAAAATGTCCCGTCAAAATCGGTCCAGCCATTTCAGTGATTAGCCGGGACAAACAGACAGACATACAAAATTGTAAAAAATGTTATTTTGGTGTATGTACCGTATTTATATTCATAGGCATGTAGTATAAAACGGCTGTTTCAGTATTACAAACAGACACTTTAATTTTATTTATATGTATAGATGTATAAATTGTTCAGTCTCTAGATGACAGACATAAAAACTACTTTAGCATTATGATGAGTTCATGGCGAACATTTTAACACAGTGTGTTTAGTTATCATTTTTATTAATTTATATATACGTTTCACACACGCAGTCTAAGTGAATTGAAATGACCAATCACTGACCAGTTTCTTGACTGGTCGTACTATAGCCAATCACAACAGCAATCAGCTGATCACGAAAAGAAGTCTTGTCTCTCGATTCGATGCGAACAGCGGTTGCAACGTAGCTAAGTGTTATAAAATACAAATTTAAGCCAAAGAACTCTATGAACCATCATCATTCCTCAAGTTGTGAAACCTGAAGTGGACAGCAGATCCGAAGTGGAAACCCGAAGAGCAAAACGCAACAAGGAAGAATCGATCCCCGGCTCTTCCAGGGGAATATACGACGATCCGGCTATATGTAAGTAGTGCTTGGTCTATCTTTCCACAGAGACTAGCGTGTGTCTTACAGAAGTCTCCCAAAGTATCACCGGTTCTACCGAATTGATACACAGTGAATCTATAATCCATTATCAGATATCAAGCTTCGTCTTCAATTTACCATGTATAAATCAGTTGTCTAATTAATTAGCTGGATAAACAAGTTTAATTACGATTATTATTCATCGTGGTTATCACTGATTGTGCGGGTCGACGGTTCAGTGCTGTCGACCCCAAGAAAGTTGTGCTGCCAACAATAGCTTGGGAAGTGTTCCCACGGTCCACGCTTGCTCTTGTTCATTAGTGGACTGGCCGCCCATTATTAATATTTCAAAACGGTATTTTGTGTCAAGAAATGCAACTGCTCTCGACATTTTTGTTACCTAAATCTATACTAATGTTATAAAGCTGAGGAGTCTGTATGTTTGTTTGAACGCGCTAATCTCAGGAATTGATGGTTCGAATTGAAAAATTCTGTTTGTGTTGGATAGTCTATTTGTCGAGGAAGGTTTTAAGCTATATAACATTACGCTACGACCAATAGGAGCGGAGCTGCAATGAAAAATATTGTAAAAGGTGGGGAAATAAAACGCAGACGAAGTTACGCGGCACAGCTAGTCTTATATGTAGAGTTTTACATTCGTTTGTAAAGAGCAACAGCTCGGATTCAAACCTATTAAGGTTCAATCTGCATTGAGAATGCTACGGTAGAATTTCTCTATGTAATTTTTTTATATAAGCCCGCATACTTAGTAATTATTACAGGTGAATTCTGTAGTCTTGGTAAGAGCTATTTTGAGAAAACTTTATTTATTTGACACTAGCTGTGCCCGCGACTTTGTCCCTGTGGAATAGACGACGATTGACAAATTTTCATACAAATGTTCATCGCCTATTTTACTTTAGGGTGTAATTTTTACAAACTGAATGTTATATTGAATAAACAACCTAAAATATAAGTTTCAAGCTTTTAGCTTTAGAAATGACGATACTTTCATTTAATTACAACTTTCAACCTTTTTTTCGCAATAAAAAGTACCCTATGACCTATCTCAGGGTCTAGACTACCTATGTACCAAATTTCATTTCAATCGGTGTAGTAGTTTTAGCGTGAAAGCGCGACTGACAGACCGACTTACTTTCGCATTTATAATATTAACTAAGTATTTAGATTTGGAAATGATAAAAGAAATTTTAATTTTAAACAAGAACAGACCAGATTTTATTTTATCATAATTGTAATGCGAAAACTTGATAGTCCACCGTTTTACGCGTATGAAAAACTTGTACTAAATATGAATTTAATACATCCAAGGTTATGTGTACGATATGAAAGTTTTAATAATACACTACAACGTTTCACCTTGTAAGTTTTACTAACAGGAATCAAAGTCGTACATCATTTATTCACGGCCTATAAATTATGTATCAACTACAAGTCAATGGTTTGAATTTTCTAATCGATTCCGAAGGTAACTTTGAAAGTATATTTAATTAAATGTATTAACACATATCACTGACAATATTATCTGATTACACTAATAATGAGTGCGTAGCGATTTCTATGTTGATTGTCGCATGCCTCTTACTTGTTACACTGTAATTATTTATATAAAAAAAAAAAACATCTATTAAAAAGTCACACAAGTTTTCATTCTTCTTGTGATGAATCTGCATTCCGAATGAGTGGTAGAATCAAAATATGACTATTCAAAAGTGCTTGTAATGAGTTTATTTGAATAAAGATTATTTCTATTTATAATATTATTTCTAAATGACACATATCCTCATTATTATATATTTTGGATGTACAGGAATCATTACATAGTATAAAACATAATCGCTGTCGCTGTCTGTCCGTCCCTTACATCTTTAAAACTACGCAACGGATTTTGAACCAGTTTTTTAATGGATAGATTCAAGAGGAAAGTTTATATGTATAATACATGTACTCCCGGGCGAAGCCGGGGCGAGTAGCTAGTTTAAAATAAAATATATTAAGAAATACTTATTAAAATATACGCTAGAAAAGTATGACGACCTCGGTGGTCTAGCGGTCTAGCACACCGCTTTACGACCGATGGTCGCGGGTTCGATTCCTCGCACGGCACAAACATTTACATTCATGAGTATGATTGTTTGTATATAATATGTATGTATTTACAAAAAAAAATCTATGTACATGTATCAGTTATCTAGTACCCATAACACAAGTTTTAGCTAACTTAACTTGGGTCTAGATGGCGCTGTGTGAATTGTCCTGAGATTATTATTATTATGTAAAATAATGTATGTAATTTTTTAAATCAGTTGGGCATTTCTTTTAGAGTTTATCCATTGTAAAGATTGAAAATTTTGCCTCTATATTATACCAAGTGAGGGGGGTGGGGTAGAGTACATAGCTCGTAGGACAGATGGCCGTTGGGGCAATAAAGTCCTCGAGTGACGACCACGGACCTGAAGACGCAGCCTGGGAAGGCCTCCAGCAACGTGGACCGATTGTCGTGGAGATCTTTGGGAGAGGCCTATGTCCAGCAGTGGACGTCTTCCGGGCTGCGATGATGATGATAATGATGGGTGGGGATTGTTCGTTATGGGGATTAGAGGCCTCACTAGTAATGGACCAGTCTGTTTGACCTCCATGCGATTCCCTCTAGAAACCACCGTGGTTAAAAAATAGTCTATGTACATCCCTATGCAGCAGCGCTCTAATCAAATAGCCCCGGAGATATGAGCGTATTGCGTACAGCGTGTACGCAATTGAGTAGGGCGAGATAGGTCGCCCTAACAACGAGATGGGGCCTACCCTACCCCATCAAGACAAAGCTGTCGTAGAGTAGAATGCTAACGTGACGTCGCAACTCCAGCAATGGCGCTCGTACCTACACTGTGTGGTTTTTTTAGTGGGTAAGAATCCTATACACACCCGGTCACATCCCCACTGGTGAGATAGTTTCGTGATGCTGTCCCACTGCTGGTGGTCACTGTATTCTCCCAAATTTAAATTTAAAAATGAATCTGTATTATTGTAAACATGTACAACATTTATTTGAAAAGAATACGAGCTGAGTTTCTTGTCAGTTCTTCTCATCTCGAAATCATTCCGAACTGACGGTAGATTTGACATATCATAAGAGTCTGTAATAGACCTACATGAATAAAGATATTTTATTTTTTGTTTTTTTTTTTATTTTGAATTTTTTTTAAATTTGAATTGTAATAAAAATAAAAATTGTGTGATACGAACTATTTTAATATTATATTTCTTTAAGCTTTAGTAATAACTTAGAAATCTTATTAATATTATAAACGCGAAAGTTTCTAAGTATGGATGTTTTTTACTCTTTTACCTAAAAACTACTGAACGGGTTTTGATGAAACTTTACAGTAACATAGCATAAACATCAGAATAACACATAGGCTATATTTTATATTGAAATTTAATGCGGGTGCACCCGCGGGCTCAGTTAGTATATAATAATAGTATGGAATAGTTTAAATAACTATGAGTTCTAGTTGGTATTATTGCTTTATGTGAGCACCCAGAACATGTCCTTATTCCCAGTTGGGGTCGGCCAGCTCTCATGCACCGAGATTCAATTATAGGGGCATGGGAGCGACGGTAATCT